GGTACAATTAGAATACGACTAGCTGCCCATGAGATCGTTAGTCGGTAACAGTCAGTCCGGAATTCGTGGTCAGAGTCCCAAACGCTTTGCTAGACGCTGACGAACGGTGGTCCCGGTTTTGGTTTTTGATTGTTTTGACGTAGTGGATGACTGCGGATCCAAGCCTAAAATTGAAAACCACAAGCAAAGACAATGTGTAGAGATGGGGATCGAAAGAGTCGAAGAAACAAAATATGGTAATAAAGTATGCACAGCAGGAGGTGAATGTCTCCGCGCATACACACACGTATACTAAGTTAGTGGTCGAGCCCAAGATATAGTAGGAGTTTTTATTCACTTTTCCATATGGTTGCATAAGGTACCAAAATTTAAAAACTCGTGAACAGAGTGAGTAAGTACACAATAACATCAAACAAGCGAATAAAAACGTTCATTTGAAACCCCAGCTGAATACTCTGAAAAGAGTGCGGGTAGATGTCCAAGGTTTTCTGAAACAGGCTTGGAGTTTCCACTCCGGGTATTAATAGCGGTCGATCGAAATAAACCGGCATACGCAGCCGAAGATTCTCGACTCTAAACGAGCGCACTTCGATGGCCCTCTTCGTAGGGTGAAATTTGGAGGGGGGTTAGAGAAACTCGAGGTCTTCTAAAGAGACAGTAAATAAGTAGTCTTTATGGAACCGAAATGCAGATCAGATCACTAAGAAGGAGAGGAGGTGCACTAACTCAGATTGCGCAAATACCAGCCGAAAATAATGTGATGCACTTTTTTANTATTATACATGTATTACGGGGTGACTACTCAGTGACGGAAACTGGCAGCCCAAACCTCGAGGATAGGAGTGGCGAACCTCATTGCCAAGTTAAGCGCAGTATTGGACCGAACGACAGCAGAGGTGCCTACCACCAAAGTTGGGTGCAGTGTTGGGGTTCGAACCTCGGACCATGGGATCAAAAGCACACCGGAGACAGAGAACAAACCGTTGCATCACCATCATCCATTCCTGTTTATGATTTAGTTTGACTTAAGCTCATAAATCATAGTGCGGGGTTACCAGGAGAACGCTACCGGGATATTCACTTTATGATTTATAATAAATACATTTACGATTACTTGAAGGGTGCGGATGCATTTTCAAACACCCTGTTTTATTCATACACATGATTAGGCTACTTATGAGTAAACTAAACCATACAGGAGAAAAAAAAGAAATTTCCCTATCGTTACTTGGCCAAATTTAGCACAGGTTAAAACCGATAATATCAGTCAGATGAGAGAAAACGATTAACAATATCACGAAGGCCTCGATAGGTGACAAAACTCTACCTGAATCACAAACACCATGGAGAGCGTTAAGATGCTGAATGACGAAACTTATTAGCCTGTCCTACCGCTTTTAGCCACAGCACTTCGTAGAGGACCGCAGCAAACCAGCATTTAACAATTTAAAGGTGGAAACAGGTACCAAAACAAACCCGCAACTGTCTCGCTGGCAAAAATTTTTACGTATATCGATTATACTTCTCCATTACAGAACAACAAACAGTATATATCAATCTGAACAGTCTCCGCCAGCGGGGAGTACAAAAGAACAAGCATCAGTTTCAGTTTGTACAATCACTAACCACGCACTTTCGTGCGCCGGTTTTGGTTGCTGTCTTTTTATCGCCCATTTGAATGAACAGTAGGAGAAAGGCAAGAAAACTGTGCTCAGCACTCGGAAGATATCAGTCACGTTTACACCTTTAGCAGAATTAGAAGTCATGACCCAGGCCTGATATGCAGCACTATGTGAACAGGTGATACCTTCGGGAAAAGTTATAATGTTCTTCTTGATCAAAGAGTATATCCATTTCATCGCCAGTAACATCATTACTGCTCAACTACATAACTAATGGCGTTCAGTTTTCACTCAAACATGAATTTATGCATTGTTCAAATTACGCAAGTTTAAGAGTGTAGAAGGCGTTTAGGAGTAAATGAAATGTGTATCCGGGAGTGGGAAACGTTTATACGAATGTGGGAAGGAGTTAAAAAGCTTTAGAATATGTAAAAAATAAAAATTAATAGATCTCAGCCCCGGAAATTTTCACCTACTGCAGGGGCCTTTGGAACTTTACTTACACGAAAGGCGAGGGATCATTGTCGTCAAGGCACAGGCTCGAATTTAGAAAAATAGAACTTCATCTGGGGGGTATATACGAAACTGCCGTCTTGAGGCACATACGAGATAAGCAAGAAATCAAGGAAGATAAAGGTCTTGGATCAGCAAAAAGCAAGGGGACTTTGATAGTAGCGGGTGGTGAACCTACAGAGCTCATATGTAAGACAAGAGATAAGGGTAAACCGAAAGTAGATAATAAACTACCTGCAACAGCTGACTTCATGGACGACGCAGCAGAGCCAGAAGATGTACTCTGTAGGAGTGGATGCTGTCAATGAGAGAAACAATAACGAATGAAACCAGTTATTTCTCTGAGGAAGGGAATTTGTAGCAAACACGAGGGAACAATACGTGAAACCCTATTGCACGATTGAGAAAACCGGATAAACAGTAGAACTACATCAGTTCTTATCAATAAAGTGACAGGGTAAGCAAGAAATATGAGCAACAGCAAACAGTCATAGTTCGGAGTGGGAAATAGCCTGTAACAGTTTTCTTGATGTTTAGGGGGCTATAGCAGAATAAGGATCACTAACACGTCGAAATGCGATCTCGCTACAGACTTCCATTCAACGCCATATCCCCTAGCGCATCTAGTCGACGATAATAGTAATCTTCAGGAGCACGGCTGGGTTCATCATCAACGTACAGTGCATTTCACTGGTCGCTGCCGAACTGACAATATACATATAATTAGCCCAATAAACAGAACTTTCCAAACTCACTAGAACGTCACGTCTGCGCCAAGGGTGGTTCAAGTCTGAGTAAGCTGCTTGAGCCCTAGATATGCGTGCTGTCACCTTTGCTGTGCAGTCGTCAATCGTCACACAACTGCCTTGGTAGGATAAACAATCTTCAATTCCTGACCAACTAGTTTCGAAGCAAGGGTGGAAGACACCCTAGCTTGCAGGTTTAATTTGCACTTTGAAAGTGTAAAAAGAATGAAGTAACGGGAATTGTTGATTTGTCAAGCGTATCTTTATCGTCCTATAAACAGACAATCCTGCGACCAGATTTATACTACTCCTAATTAGAACAGAACGGGAGGTGGTCTGCAAGGTTCAGTTGCCTCTACTCCCGTCAGAGCTTGAATATAAGACAGCATACCTATTTCTGTTGAAGGATAACATGATTTTGCTCATGGAGCTTTAGCTTCGACAGTTGACATAATTTGGCTAGCGCTGTAGCAGATGATTTGTTCGTTGAAACACTCTGTACAAAGACCAATCAGTTGTTTTTACCGGAAAAAGCTTGTGCAATTTCACTGCAGATTGCTACCTAACCATAACAAGTCAGTGTCGGGTGTTATGAATAGGTCAGAACGGTCTGATGTCATACCGCGGCTACTTTCATCTCAGGTTCAATTGTTGCCCACCAGTTCTTGTCGTCCTTCTTGAAGCTTTACATAAGTTAACTTAGCAGACGCCCCCTATCCCTGTTTTGATACTGGGTATTAGCTCTTCATCCATCGGGACTACGTATTCCTGAGAGATCCAATGTCGCCTATGAGATTCCAGACTTGGATCCACAAGTGAAATTCTTTACCGGATGCGTTGCACATCTAATTTTGTCCCATTACTCATCCGCTCCGCCACGCTACAGAAATCAGCTCACACCTTAGACCTTCTTCATAGTGCACAAGAACAGCTGCATTAGATGCAACGAAGAGACAAAACGCGCTTTCCGTTTTTGTCAGCCACCGATGAGTCGAAGCACAAAACGCACCAAAACTAAGGCGCGATCAGACTCAACATAGATAACATGGATAACCACAGACCGCCGGATCATACCGAATCCAAGTCACCCACAAAACGACCGCATGCCTAGGAAAAGCAAAAGTGAGAAAGACAAGCGCAATATTATCCACAAATAAACCGCACTAACCACGAAAACACTATATCACACAAACTTGAAGAAAACTATGAACAAGGATTGGTGAACACCAATCGGCAGTCAGAAGGCATACCACCGTTGATTTCCCTCACAAAATCCTCATGAGCATCAGCGAAATATAGTGAGGCGAACTTCACTGATCCCTGCTGTAGAGTGAAACCGAATGTTGAACTGTCGTTGATAACCACCTTTCCCCCTTTCTTTTTACAGGCTGTACAAGTTGCGGGACGCCCAGTACAGTGATATAAAACACTGAGAACGAAGACAAAACAGCACCCACACGTAACATTATCATTTTGTATTGTAATCATTTCATATTCTTATAGTGTTGCTACGTTTTGCACCAATATAATTTATTTCGAATCCGTCGAGTCTCCTCCCTGAACCTAATTTGAGAGAGTGAAGAAGCTGAACCTCTATGGTCAACACACAGCACACAATCGAACTCTGCATACATACCGTGCCAATGACAACAAGAATGCTACTACTGTCGGTTCACTGCCATTCCTTCAATGTCTCCAACTAACCAACTGCGGAATCTTTTAGACCATAACCTTGAAGGCGCGAGAGACTTACTCTATTAGTACTAATACGAATTCGATGTGCTAGTAGGTTTATACCTGAGAGACTTCCAAACACACGACGACTTACCTCCAAATTACTAACCAGTTCGCTCCATCCAACATGGGCTAAGCTACGTAGAACACCGATAATCGAAAACTTCTAGTCGATGGATATCTTTTACTCGTAAATTCAAGGTCCCACAACCATGAAACATAACTGGACGAACGTTGGCACAATAAACACGACCTTTCGACTTCAGTGAAACGCCGCGTTCACGCGGTGTTTCATTCCTGCGTATGCAGCTCGAGCCTTGGAAATGCGAGCGGTCATCTCCTTTGCCGCGCCACCGTCATTGGTCACGCAATTACGTAAGTAAGAAAAGTAATCCACTGTAATTAATGCCTGATCATTTAGTTTCAGAGCGGGAGTAGGCGAAACCCAGTCCTGCATCATCACTTTGCACTTTGAAGGTGCAAAGCACACACCGAATGTGGCAACCGCATTTGCTAGTCTATCAAGTGCGTTTTGCGCGCCCAGCGTACATTCGAACAGATGGACAATGTTATCGGCCTACTCCAAATCGCAAAGCTTTCCTCCAGTCGCTCATTCAATACCTACGTTTTGGAGTCCACTTAGTGCGTTCTCCAGTATTTCGTCTACGACGAAATTAAACAGGAACGGCGAAAGAGGGCATCCTTGACGAACAGCCTACTTAGTTCATCATAGACCCTTACTCGACCACAGGTATGTGAGTACAGTGACCTCAGTAAGTCAACGTACTTCTGCGGCATCCCTTTTCGAAGAAGGCAGCCCATCAGAGCTTCGTGGTCAACTGCATCGAAGGCTTCTTTCAGGTCAAGAAACACTGCGAGCGTTGGTCGACGGAGGGTGTGACGCAGCTCAAGGACCTGACGTAGCATAAAAATTTGGTCAATACATCCACGGCCAGGCCGGAATCCGGCTTGCTTTTCGCGGAGATAACTTCGTGACTTGAGAACGGACTAAAAGCGCAATCAAGACGGAATATCCTAACCTGCTCGTAAAGCGCACTGCACAATCTGCGAAGAATGACGGACATCAACAGCTCTGACAGTACTAGGATTAGGATCATACCCGTGGTTGGCGCAACCACTGAATCCCCCTGAGGATTTGACCTGCTCCGTATGTCAAACACAGGAGAATAGAGTTTGTCATAATCCAACATATTTTATTCCGCCATCCTTAAATAAATTTTGGAGAAGGCCACTGAAACCCAGTGCGCGGATTGCCTCGCAGATTTTCAGTCTTAAAAGAGGAAGTCACTGAAACTGACTACGGGAATGGCAGTGATGAGCTAACGCCGAGGGCAAGTTGAACGGTACCTTAAAGTACCCCACCCATCCTGCAAGACGGCGACGTCTATTATGAATGGGTAAGCCGTTGGCTTCATAAATGGTTTCGCTCACACCTGGTGCTTTCCTGCCGGTAACTCGGAGGTGGAAGAGCTTACGCAAATGTCCCATGGCAGAAGCATGTTCCACCACTGATGCACACTGGAATCACCAGACTTCGCGGTCCCTGAGTAGGCTTATGTTCAGCTTGCGCCTAATTACGAGTCATGTTTCGTCATGCTCGATGCCGGTCGGGATTGATTGACAAGTGCAAGGCGTAACAGTTTAGTGTGCCACGATAAGACTGGTCAGGCAAAAACTCACTAAGCCAGCGGGATACAGAGCGTTCTTCACGAGCGACCGGTGTTGATTAACGTTAGCGCCTCCGAAATCCTCAGTATGGTCGGGAGTGAGTGTCTAGAGTTGCGGCTGATCACCCTTCCCTTGCACCTCGCGAAATGCTCCCATACGACCAAGCATCTCAAAAAGCCTCTGCCGAGGAAGCCATACTCACTGCCTTCTCGTGGCGGTGTTTTCCCACCAAAGTGAGAGGACGAAAAGCCGACATCCAGGGCTATAACCGAGTTGTTGGACCACCGGTAGTTCACCTAGGGGAGTTGGCCAAACACTTGATTCCAAACTAACCAAGAGGAGGCGTACGAACCACACCCACACCTTTCCGGTTGTGGCAACGGTCACCGGCTCGGTTTGGCATCGAGGTGTATTGGGCACCTTGGACGTTTGACGCCGTCCGAAAGACGTATGATTCGATGAATTAGACACCGGCTCCGAATGAACTGCGGTTTTCACACCGCCCGGCTGTCTTGCAAGTCAGGCTTTGGCTAACCGAAAGCTTCGGTTGTGGATTCCCCAAGAAAACTCACCTGGGCAACCTGGCCGTATTCATCCCACAAGCCAATCATGGAACGTTTTTCTTTTTACAAAGATTATTGCTGGGCACACAGTCCGTCCTCAAACAACTGTGAAATATATAACAATAATTAACGTTGGCATTTCAGTCCGTGCGTTTCGAAAGCTAGTATGGATAGCTTAACACGATCTAACCGTCGCCGAATCGTACATATGGAACGCCGACTGACGCGCATGGATAGCCTAGCACAAACAAAACTATGGAGCTGCAGTAAGATTAACCTGCGCACTAAGATACGAGCCGTTCTGACCCCCGTCTTCTCTGTCCTTACATACGGTTGTGAGAATTGTTAATCACGCGGTGATAATATGCGGGGTTGGGAGTCTATGGTGCCTGCGATTCTCGCTGAAGTTATAATGACAAAAACAGATTTCTAACGAAGAAACGCGATAATGCGACATCGGGAAATCGTTTTCTTTATACAGTACCGTCATATCGAATGATTCCACTGTTTTCCGACGGTCTGTGAATACTAGCTCCAGGTCGGCGTTGTCGCCTAGGTGTTCAACTTCGGTTAATATGGTTGAGGATGTATAGAAATCGGGCCCTCGAATAATTTATGACCTACGGGGAGTTCAGTATCATTCTCTCGCCAACCAATGTCAAAAAAGCCCACTTATCTTCAAGTAAGAACTAGTGGTATAAGGGTAACAATGATACGACCTACAATTTCGTTCTGAATCGCACCAATGTAAGCTTACTACTACGTGATCAATTTGAGTCCAGATGTTCCAATATAAGTCCGATCAGAACACGATAACCTCGTCGTTTGACAGAACAACATGGCTTGCATATCTCGCTTCTTCTCCTACACGTTTAACATAAGTAAACAAAGCACAATTCGGCAAAAGTAAAGACATTCGAAGAAAGAGCCCTTTAGAGAGAGACCTGGATACCCTCAGGTTAAACAGAGCTGAATGCAACCAAGCGGGTCCCCGGGTTGTGGATGGGGGGATAACGTCACAGCAGGTGGTGGCCAAGTGGTTAGGTCACCAACTAGTGACTTGGGTGTCCCGGGTTCAAACCGCTCCACGGAAGCCCGTCTTCCCTATATCTGTATTTTCCCCAGGCAGCCTTTGTATGACCGCAGCCCCCATCCTGAAAGCGTACTGTACATTTGTATATTCAATAAATAGAAAAAGGAAGTAAAAAGACATTTATTTATTATTTCAAGGTTAGCTGTGAATAATTTGTGGCTTACCGCAACTAATAAGCAGTCGCGAACAAACAGTGCGGCACTACCAGGGTGTGGTGGGTTTCAGGCTGGTCACCTGGCTCCTGTTTAAAAGCCGCATAAGCCCAATGACGGTGTCGTGACAAAGGTCGACGTGACTGGCCTTTTAAAACTAAAGTCACTGACCCTCTCACTGCTCCGGCGAGGGATTACTTACTGCTGCCCTGCAGTTCGTACTTGGTTGTGCAAAGGTTAGAGATGCAACCTCAAATTAAAAACGCCGAGTGACGCTGGGGACTTCTCTCGTACCAAACTCCCAACGAAATTCATGATCAAGATCAAGTCTGAAGCCCGCTTATCCTTTCCAAGGAGCCAGCCGCAGTAAAGTGAGTAAGCTTAGAGAGAGTAACTATCTATTCCTCGCCTAAAATCATCGTTGACGATGTACTTCCGTCAAAAGTGAGCGATGATGAGCAGATGACAGTTGTGGAAAACAGACATTATTCGGGCATCCTATATCCGGAAAGACCCATTTTCGCAGCTGTAGTGCAACACAGTACATTAGTCTCGCGTTATACACATACCATTTCCGAGAAAGGGACATATCGTATTGCTGCCAAAGACATCACGAATTGGCAAATGACAATTTTCCTTCAATTGCTCGTTGATGATATTTCATCATTATTTGAACCAGTCCACGAGCACCTGGCTGAACAGTGGAGCGATTGAGACCATCAACATTTCGATCGTTTCATAGCTAGTCGAGTGAAACCACACGACTAATCTGGTCGAGACATTTTAACTACTCTATCCGGTTCAAAGGCGTTGATCCAAGGGGATTGGGAGTAGCATTTTGGTCACAGCATGAGCAATCGGAATTCGCCTACATAACCTCCTGATGTTCACAAAAACAATTTGTAAGAGCACTCGGCCTTCTACGGCTAACATTACACAATACATAGTCACTCCCTCTCCCCCACCCCCCATGACCCAAGCCAGTGCGTAGGTGTGATGACTAAACTGTGAGCAACAGGTCTTCGTGACTAAGGGGTTCACCCCGTCTGCCATTCACCACATAAATATGTGTAATAAAAAAATCCGGTATTGAAACTGTAATGTTGATTATTTCTTTTCCCATTTTGTCAGGATTACAATTCCATTCCCCCAAAGATTTTGACATAAATTGCGATGCACTTGTCTGTAAATGAATTACCGCATGCGAGCTTGTTCAAAACCGTTTTCCCCACAGTATGTGATAAAAGTTGGAAAATTTGAAACAGAAATGACGTAGTCCAAGAAAGTCTCCCGTGTACAGCACGAGGTATGAGAACTTGACTGCAACAGACATACCAATCTTCCACCAGTCAGCGCAGAGGTAGGCAAACACGCTTTGGCGTTCGCGGGAGACAACAACAGGTCGGATCCTTTCGTGATACGCACGCCAGACCTTTTCGTACTCGGACCTACAAAGGTGAATCGATGGGCAATGACATAAATCAAAACGGACAAAAACGATCGCATAGTTGTACGTGGACGTAAAGAGAACGCTGTTGGATACACAAATAAAGGAGTTTTGAAGACGCAGAATGATTTTCAAGATGTGTCAGAGGATCTCAAACAAATATGAACACACGAACGACAAGACTTACTAGGAGCAGACCAGGTCGGATCAGGATCCCGTGGTCGACCGCGACCTTTTCGTCCGGTACTTGATCGTTTGGCGCTGGACGAAGTTCCGTACTCCTCTTGATCTTCCACATCCTCGTCAGAATCACTCAGATTGAGAAAATCTGTGACGCAAACCCATGGAGATAAACCATCAAAAATCCAGGTCTCATGAAAGCGATTTGGATAAGGTAGACTTTCGTATTTAATAAAAGCATTCATGTGCAGTCAAGTTTTGAACTACTCAAAACAAGTAAGGTATATTTCCAAAACTCATCTATTGGGAGGTGGTCAGCAACTTTCGCCCTATCGCTTGGAGTGCGAAACAGAACGTGATTTCGAGTCAGCTATTACCAAATGAAGTCACGGACAGGGTCGGTGGGTCTGAATGGACAGTCTCAATGAGTGGTGTCAACAGTGACAGTGATTTAACTTGCTCCATATTCGTGATCAGGGGTTTAACGATTAAACAGTCCCCAACAATCTGGTTGCGGTACATTTCGGACTTGATTATGATTTCCAAAGTGACCAGTATCTGCGAAATGATCAGTGGATTTAAACCGCAAAGACTACCAATCATATCACAAAATTCTGACAGACAGGACGAGCATCCTGAAAGTGAAAAGCTGACGGATACCATTTTCGAACGAGTGTAACTCACCTAACGATATAACTATCATCCCTGTAAAAACAGCACTGTTGATCGAGAAAAGGTTTTGTCTTTTCCAGGAAAACAACTGCCAACAAATCTGTACTAATGCAGAAAAATTACAATTTGAAATAACCTTTTCTCGATATGAACGTGAATAAAAAATACATCGGCACAGTATTGCACAATTTATTTCCGGAAAATTTTCGCTGTATCTTTTCGGGTACGTACTACAGTCAAATAATGCAATGAAAACTAGCAAGTAACATTTACCGCGGATGGGCTGTTGGTGTTATCTTTGTCCATCTTTCTGCCAAGTAAATTGTGCAACACTGTGTGGCTGTGTTCCTTATTCGGATTACAATTTATTGACAAACTGTTGAAAAATCCAAAGTAACGCTGTATACACCACACACGACTATCATCACGGACCGACTGTAATTCCACTTACAGTGATCGCCCACTAGTCGACTGGTACTCAACTCTGGAACGGCGTTCAATACGTCTGGGTCGTCAGTGGCCAGGGGTGCAGGTTCTAACGAGGATTTGTCCAGCCGGCGACATTTTGATGAACGACTGGGCATCCAGCCCAAACCACCTTTAGCCGCTCCAACTGGGTCACTCAAACCAGGTGTCGCGAGGGATTCGGTATGATCTCGTATTACAGACCTCCCTTTGTGAGGTATGCGGGTGACAGATTTGATCGGGATTTCGCAAGAGGAACGAGTGGTTTGGTCTTTTGTATCTATGGAATGTAAAGCCGATGTGCTGATCGGAGAAGAAAATAGACAGGAGGGTACGTAAAATTGTGGGAAGTGTTGACGCTTCACACACGTTATGTAGAAGGCGAGCATCAACTGACGTACGTAACGGAATAATTGAAAAGCAATATGACCTCCAAAGAATTCGAAAACAATTAACGAAGAGGCAAACAGTAAGGCGCGGTAGGTGAAGTTATGAAAGTTAAGTAGGAAAGCATTATCTGTTTCAGTCAATTCATATTCACCACGGCCTACTCACTCAATATTTTGTCCCGAATGTATCGACAATGGTGAATTATGTGTCCGTTTTTCGGATTTTTTTCGAGCAGAATCGAAAACCGCGGATAGATCACGTAACCGAGCAATTAGACAATCCCACGGAAGTTCCAGTGTCGTTCGACTTGGTAGATAATACCTGCGTTCCTCGGACGGCAACTGAGTAGAAATTATGGGATGGAGGAACAAAATCCGATGAATTNTGATTCAGAAAGTCATATGGAGGAAGAAAACAGCATTTACCAAAAGCCAGAAACGTCAGGGAGTAAAGCAGAAATGGTCTTTGATGAGATAATGACTCGAATTAAGGAATCTTTCAGCTAAACTAGCAGCTCCCGAAAACGGTGAATCCCATGTAGTAGAGATGGACCATTTGTGTCCACCAGAATGAAAAAAGAAAGGGATTATTATGGACATAACTCTCTCAGTTTGCGTGCTTGTCTCCGGAATAGCAACTGATCTTAAGCACCCGGAGAGGTACTAAATAAATTAAACGGTGTGAAACAGGAGTGTAGAATGGACAAGTGAAGAGCATTCATGGATGTAAGTAAGGTTGTTAAGTCGCTGGACTTCACAGTAATATATATATATA